CCCCAAAACCCCAAAACCCCAAAACCCCAAAACCCCAAAGATAAAAGGGCAAATTGAACTGTATAATAATTAGTATCGAATAAAATGAAAGAAGGACAGAAAGAAAGTGAAGTAGTTCCAATTAAATGAACACACTTAAGAGGACTCTTCTCTGCTGACTCTAACTGAAACCAAGAGTAGGCCATATTGATTGATAATTACTCTAAAGATTACAACTAGCTCCTCTATCTCGTGTATTAACCAAGAAATAAATTACTAATTTGATTATAGTATGAAATACAAACACCTGCTTACCCTCCATGGTCTCCCAAAGCAGATCAGTAAGCAGATTGCCAGCAACATCGATATCGTTTTTGTCAATAGAAGAAGGAAAATTGAGCGTTCTACCACTCAAATGAAAATGAGAAGGTCGCTTAACAGAGGTAAACCTTCTATTACCTATCCAAATGACTTTAGATTCGATTGTAACATATAGAGAATTTCCAGTACCCTCTCCAGTCAACCAAGAATGTTCGAAAAGAAGAAAATTTCTCTTTAATAAGAAATGAGAGACCCCTTCGGATCACTGGCAGTATTTTCAATGATAACCAGATAAATGAATCCCAAGAGTAAATTTTCATACTTTTATAGTAGAATTTTCTGCTCAAATTTACCTTAAGCGCCCACCAATTTAAATTTTATTTTTGGAAATAACCGACACCTTCTGCTTATTAATTTTCATAGAGATTTTGACACACAAAGGAGGAGGATATTGAAAGGATTTAACTCCAATAACAACTCGAAATTCTTCAAAATGAGTAGGTCCTCAGACACTAAATCAGCCACTAAGACCTGAAGTACGGACACGACAATGCATAAACCAAGAAGAGTCCTGAGGTCTTCTAGAAAAATCTCAAGGAGTATTATTAACAAAATAACCAAGACCCCTCCTTATGCTACTTCTCAGAGCTGGGCTGTGTTTAATGCTGAGAAGAAGGCCTTAATTGCATCTAAGTTCTCTACGTCAAGGAGGGAGATAGCCAGCTTGACTAAGATCATGGTTCTCTATACATGAATTAAACTGTGAGAGAGGTTTCAAATAAACCCAGCAATAGAGAAAGTTCAGATTCCAGCAAAAATCAAAAGAATAGTCGGCACATCTGCTCATCTTGCAAAGAATGATGAGGTTGCAGTATTGGATTTGTATTACGGACTTATGTTACCAAGCGGAAATGATGCAGGGTATTCCCTAGCAAGTCATTTTGGAGAAGTCCTGATTTCCAATAATGTGTTAAGAGAAAATGAAGAGGATGGGATTAAGTTCCGAGACACTAAATCGCATTTTAGATGGTCAGCCTTAGTCACCGCTTTCTTAAAAGAGATGAACTACTATGCCAATAAGTTGGGTATGGTACATACAATCTATGACTCTCCTCATGGACTGGCTAATCCATATAACTTGTCTACTGCTAATGATCAATGAATACTAATTTCACATTGCTTGAGCATTCCTTTATTTATGCAAATAGTAAACTCCAAAAGCCATAGCTTCACGACTCCAAAATAAAACTTACAATTGGAAGAACACTAATAAACTTCTTGAGAAAGGATATCTAGGGATGAAAACAGGCATTACTGAGTCAGCAGGACCTTGTCTCGCAGTAGCCAAGAGGAAGAAGATCAAAGGCATCCAGGTCACACTCATTCTTGTCTTACTCAATTGTAAGAACTTAGAGGAACGCTGGAAAGAAGCCCCCAAGCTCTTGAAATGGTGTTTTAAGAAAATAAACGAACAGTTTCTTAATAATTAAAATTTAGGATTTAAAATTTTCAATAAAGATTTCTATAAGAGGGGTTTTGGGGTTTTGGGGTTTTGGGG